GTGTGAGCGAACAGTCTGCAACAAAATGGCTGCTGGCATAACAGCACAACAACGACAACAATGGCTGCAGCCAGTGCCGTCTGCAGATACACTCATAATGATTATCCATTGAAATGGAAATGCCAGCCAAGGATTTAATATAATTCCCAATGCGTAAAGTGCGCTCTGAAAACTTTTCGCACTGCACCAACAGCAGCTGAAGAAGAAGCAGATGCTAAAGTAGGTAAAGAAGAAGCAGCAGCAGCGGCAGCAGCAGCAGCAGCAACAGACTAGAATGCATCTCTGCAGCATGAATTGCCAGCCAAAGAATAGAATTCAATTTAAATAGATTTCCGCTTAGAGGAAATTTAAAAGTGCAGCAAAAGGCAATTGTGAACGCAAACTGAAGCAGCTCCTCTTGCCACTGCCTGTGCGAGTGTGAGTGTGCGTGAGTGTGTGGCACGTTGATTGAAAAACTGCTAACTACATACACTTAGACGCCACACGCACACACACATACGTAAAGGTATTGCAACAGTCATGCATTGAAATGAGAGGAAACCGGAAACATAGTAAAAGAAGAAGAGCTCATGTCTTACACTTGCTTTATGAAGACGAAATATAGATTCCCTAACAATGTTATCTTGATGAGCGCGACTGCTGGGTGGAGGCAGCCATTCATTATTTCCACTTCAGTTTTCAATTAAATATCAATAAATCGATCCACACAAAATGAAGAAAGTGTGCACGTTAAATTAATATAAACTGTGCCAAATGCAGCTCAAGTTCCTTTAACGATGCTCAAATAATTAAGTGGGCGCTCGAAGAGCTTGAAGTCTTTTCGAATTCTGCCGCGATAAGCTCAATTTCCTGCCGATTCCTGTTCCTTGTTCTCAACTTGAGCGTTCCTTTTGAGCATCGTGTAGAATGACGTTAGTTACTGGGCTGGCAACGGCAAGCCTCGCACAAAGGTAAAATGCTAAGCAAACGTGCGTGCGAAAAAGGTAATTGAAAAATAGTTTCCGTTTCCCATTGCCAATGCCTTTGCTGTTGCTGTTGCTGTTGCTGTTGCCATTGCGTTTTCCTTTGCTTTTGCCTGTGCCAATCTCATTTCCCAGCGCTTCTACAGCAATTGCAATTGCCAGTTGCCAACTGCATTTGGAATGTGATTCAAGGCAGCGGCGGCTGCCTGAAACTTAATTCTATATGATATTTTAGCAGCTCAAGTTATAGGCAGCCAAGGAAATCGATCTCAGTTGAGCTTCATTAGGGCGAGTCTCTATTAAATTCAATTCAGTTTACATAATTGTTTTGCCATATGTGTGGTGCAGCTGGCCATAAATTGGTAACGAGCTTGCGGCATTTTSWCTCGGCCACATGCTGGGCTCATATTTCAGTGTCGGCCAAATCAGAGCGAGCTGAAATACAAATCTTGCCCCATCTGCGGCAATAAAACATAATAATTAACATTTGCGACGACCGTCCGAGTTTGATAAATGGCGAATGGGGCGTTTCATTAAAGTGTTGCATACTCTCGAGCGTTATGCTAATGGCCTAGCAGGACTGCGCGGGAGGGAGCTGGCGCGCGGGAGCCGAAGCGAAGACGGAAGCGGAAACGAACATGAAAATGAAAATAAAAACTCAACCGCAGACTTGCATGGAAACTTTTAATTACATTTTGCTAGTGCGTATGTAGGTGTATGTGTCACTCTTTCTCTCCATCTATCTCCCTCTCTCTCTCTCTCTGAGTGTGTGCATTTGCATGTGTATGACAAGCAGAAAGAGAGTGACAAACCGACTGAGCGGGGGGCTGCGTGCAGCAGAGCTAGCAAAATGTAAGTAATGACTAAATGCGCACTCTGACAGTTTAACATGACAAAAATGTTCCCTTTTTTTGCTGAGCTTGATAAATGATACGCGCGAAACACACAACAACAACAACAACAACAGGAGCAACAACAACGAACAGATGACGAAGAAGAAAACGAACAAGCAACAACTACAAAGCTGACAGCGTGTCCCCAAAAAGTTGGACCGGACTACCCCTGCCCAACTGGGCATAGTTTTTGTTTCTTTTGTTGGCCACACTTTCGCTGCGATTCACTTCAGTTTTATTTTTGTTTTTCTGTGCGTTGCCTGCTTTGTGGGCAAACATTTGAGTGAATAAAGGGGATTTCCGGCATAAATATGCCAACACCTCGAAACACAGATGCACAATGAATACGAATAGAACTATGAATGCGCCAAGGCAAAAGGCCAAGCGAAGGGCGAAAACAGAAAACAGAAAGCGAAAGCGAAAGCCCCGACGACGCAGCTAAGCGCTGAGTGAAATAAAATGGAATGCCTCCACAGAGTGGAAAAGGTCAAAAATAACCTAAAAAAAAAAAGGAAAAGAAAAATGAAGAAAAAAAAAAAAACCAAATAATAATAATAGCAAAATAAAATAACAGAGCTCGTATGAAAAGGCGAGATTATTATTTATGACTTTGTGGCGAGGGCAATTCTTGAGGTTGAACATGATGTTTCTGCCTGTAACTTTTGAATAAAAGTCTGCGAGCAGACGGACTGAATACCCTGCACTGCTGAGGAGGAATAAAGCAATATATATATATAAAGGGAATTGAAATTGTAAGAATTTATATATNTATATATTTATATTTATATAAAAAATAATGTATGTAAATAAAATAACATTCAGTAAAAATTCCCATATGATTTTATTATACTTTGGCAAAATGTTTCAACTTATAAGCAATTTTTTTTCTAATAGAAAATAGTAATCTTTGCTATACCTATTACTCACTTGCATAATCTATAGTATATAGTATATATAGTCTAATAGCCATGCCCAGTATTGATTATAAGAAACATTTACTTTATTGCAGGTTGAGTAGAAAAAATGTAGGAAAATGGCATTCAATCAATGAAAATGAATGTAGACCCTAAAATGCGATATTGTCATTTGCTCCAAGTAGTTGCCAAAATGAAAGTCCTATCCATTTGCTGATAGTAGCTAGCCTAATGCGATTGCGCAAATTGCTGGAATATTCGATATGCCCAGAAGTGAGTGGTTTAGGCCATCAGCTGTAGTGCAAAGGCCCATTTCGTGGCACTTTAATTGCCGTGGAGCATAATTAATTAACCATTGTTTTTGGTCACCCCAAAGAGGAGTCAGAGCAACAGAATTAATGTGCTCACATTTCGTGTTCTTCTGTTTCTGTGCGGGGCCGCTCCACTACGGCATTTTAAATATTTAAAACACAGCAAATGAATTTCTTATTAAGCCAGCAAACAGGGCGATAGCCGAGTGAGGCGAAGGAGCGAAGGAGCTGGCCGAACTGCGAGATGAAGTCACTGCAGGCGTTGGCAGCTGCCCGCTGACTGTGCAAATTGCAAGTTTCATTGATTTTCGTCACACACTCGTAGTGTGGGGCCGCCTTATCCTCGTCCGTATCCTCAGCACGGCAACAGGCCATGGCTGCATTTTTAATGCGCACTGCAGTCAGCCCGGCTCAGCCCAATATTTGATACAAATTTATTTGAAATGCACTTACTGACCTACGGATTAAAGCGTTGCGTGAATTACTTTTAAAATATGTATTTTATTTGATTTAACAGATATTATTCCCTGGTGATGAAGGAAAGGTAGTAAAGATATTCGATAGCTTTACGTCTGCAATTGATTGTAGATTAATTCCATTCTGATTAACAGGTGTATTCAAGAGAAACCACACTCACTTCTTCGTGAAGCCGTTGACCTATTCGTCTATTTGAATTTAATCGCTGCCTGCTCCAGTTCTCGGCGTGCCATCAGCGACGTGTTGGCGGCACGCAGTGTGAAGTGGTAGACAAACTCAATGGCGCTCAGGATGCTGGCGCCGAGAAAGAGGCCCAGTATGCCCCCGATGGAGACGACGACGTCGAGCTTGGAGCGCAGCACTTGGCGACGATATTGATCCGTGGGCCACACTGGCATCAGGAGTGTAACGTTGGTGTCTCTGACATTTCTCTTTGAGCTGGAAGAGACTAATAAGCATAAGAGATGCGAGTAAGCAGAGAGAGAGAGAGAGAGAGAGGAGAGAAATGCACCTGATTTGGTCCTCAAAAATGGACTTCAGGTCTCCCTCGGTGCAGGAGGGCAGGCAGTGGCAATGCAACGTTGGCGAGTTGATGCGAAACAGCCTCTTCACATCCTGCTTGACCATGGAGGAGCTCTCCAAGCACAAGTAGCCGTTGAAGTCACAGTCCGGATAGCGAGGGTCGGGATATGGACTCATATTGTAAACGGAGCAGTTGCACAGCTCCATCTGGTAGAGTCTGGTGCAGTCACTGATGCAGGCGCTGAAGCTGTAGGCCTTGTACATGCTCCAGGGCATTACCTCGTCGGGAAAGTAGCAGTCGCGCGCTGCTATTGGAATATCCTTCATGCCGGGATCGTTCACCATGGTCTCTCTGTGGAACTGCAGCGTCTTGTGCTGTCCCTCCAGCACAATAACATCCACCGTTGGCAGCGGTATGTTCGGGACGTCCTCTTCGTTCAGCACGCTCACCAGAGCGGCGCGTGTCAGATGCAGATCCATTTCCAGATGGCTACTTCGGTCTAAAATGGCCGGCAGCCAGTGCTTCGATTCGGGATGGTTGTTCTGCAACGAGTTGAACAGAAAGCAGCGGCCGAACGGCGTGATCATCGGCAGAAAGTACGTGCAGCAGTCGAACTCCTTATCCGCCAATGTGCAGCGGATAAACAGATCCGAGCAATTGAAGCCAAACTGCAAGAAACCCTTCATAAGTATTTCCCATTGATGCAATACATTGTCCAATGTACCCTTAACGATAAATTCCGATAGTCCGTCTTGGGGCACTTGGCGCACTTCTCGCATTGCTCATACGGCTGACAGCGAACAAACATTCCCGTCGTGTACTGATAGGGGAAGAGTACAAAGGACAAATAGGACTCCACCTCCCAGTTGTAGGGATCGTTGAGATCCGTACCCAGGCTGAGAGAAATTTGCAGATACATGCCGGCACACGCCTCTTTCTAAATGTCATACCTCTCCACATATTCCTCCACATTGCGGGGAAAGTCGGTCTTGAAGCGCAGTTCGCAAACGCTGATCGTTGGRAATTTCACCTTGGCAAATGGCGAGAGACTCTCGTGGACAATGCTGACGGCGCGTGAGGTGAAGTCGCGCTGATATTGACTTATGAGATGATAGACTCCCACGGTCGACACGATTATGCAGAGCAGCCAAAAAAGACGCTCCGTGAAGTGCAGGCTGCAACCAAGCGAAGCGTTAGCTGAATATGAAGCTCTCACCTTACCTACTTATGATTGGCCATGTAGGAGAAGCCCGCCAGACTGCAGCTCTGACAGTACTCAGTCACAACGTCCACAAATCTCCAGCCCACCGCCTTCCAGTTGGTCTTCACTCGGGACTTTTCCTGCTTCATCGTCGTCCGATTGTGCCCAGCGTCGATCGCCAGCTAACTGAGTGGCGCAGCCATGTTGTGGCTTTTATATACATTTTAATTTTGCTCCATTTTGCTGGGCCTGTGTTTGTGCTGCGGCGGCTTAATTGCATGTACGGCTGCTTGTTTCAGCCATTGGCCTTGGCTTCCGTTTCCGCCTCGGTCGCCCTGGCTCTGACCCCGCCTCCCGCTCCGTCTGCGTTGCGCYCACWCTGCACRCTGTGGCTGGGTTCGCTGCACGGGAAAGCTCTTAATTGGTATTTGCTTTGTGCAGGTGTCGCAATAAGGACTTAAGTCCACACCCACACAACATGCACCCTTGTGCGTAAATATATATGACTGCGTATGCATATAAGCAGGCACTCGAAATTGTTATTTTAAAGCGGCGAAGTGGGTTTAACACAGGCGACAGGCGACATGCGAGTCACCTATAAATTGATCGATATAAAATGCAGAGGAACTGAAAAGATGACAAAAACAAAATAATGGAAATTAAATTAAAATTTTTACAAAATATCATTACCTTAAATATTTTTAAATATTTTAAATACTTTTTCATTTATTAAATTGACAAAACTTTTAACATCTAT